GAGATATGGACCAAAACACTTGCATTGAATCGGTTAGTTTGTTACCCCATGGCTTGGATTTCATAGAAAAACACCTTTCAATGGCAGCCATGTTGAATCTGATTTCAAGTGAAGGAATATTGTAGTTTTAAGTCTAAACCCTCACCTGGGGCATATCTCCAGGTTCTGTCGAGGACATCCATGATTTCTAGCTCCTGGATTCATTCGACCAGAGGAGATTTTCAAATATAGAAACTGGATCCATGATTTATTAAAACAACCTAACCACTAATAGGGTCAGAAAGACTATGAACATATATGATAACAGCCAACACACTCATTTGCATATCAATTTAGTTTTCACGGGAGACTCCGCTGGATCTCTCGTTTATGATATTCTTCAACCAAATTTGCCGCGCAAAGGCCGCCTCGTGTTTCAGTTGGCACGATATTTGAGATATCGCAGTATATTTTCCTAAAATAAACTACTGGCAATGTCGCTGAAAAGCCCTCGATATCCGATGACCGGTTTGGATAGTGAGAAGTAATCACCCAAATACTTGGCTTCACTAAACTTCTGGATAAGAAAATGTCCCTATTTTCAAACTTACTTTGAATACAATTAAGCACTGTCCAGAACAATGGCCGTTAATTATTTTCAATGTCTATACTATACTCTCGTTCATTTTATTCGGTTTTCTCCTTCATAAAAAACTGAGCCAACAATTTACAAATAAACGGTAGATCGGCGGCAATAAATAAGACCAACCACTTCGTGTCACTTCAATTTGCCTTCAGTTTACCATAAACACTGTGACAGATATCTCAGCTGTAGGTTAACTGCGCTTTGGTAAGCGCTCCTTCATTTCTCTTGGACCAATCATTCATAAGGAAAACAAACCCAGGTTGAGCGGTTTACTTCACGTTTCCCCGTATGTCTATGTAACAGGCAAACAGGTGCTGAGTAAACAATTGTTGTCGTTCTAATCCACCGCATCGTGCCGAAACACTCAGCCGAGATGTCACAACCCATCCATCATCGGTATCTGCCTCCATCTGAAAACTGGTCAGCTATGGGGGTGCTGGTGCATATGGTAAAAATAAATGTTTAAATAATTTTGTTTAACTTCAGTTTGTTTACACTAATACAACACACACACACACTCAGGTCTCTCAGAAATCGTGTAAATTTGCACGAGGACTGAATAGGACAACATGAACAGCTTATCGATCGAGAAATCTTTCAGTACCGTCTGTTTATTGAAATAGTGACTGTATGTTGCCTTGTTGCCTGAAATGTCTGCCAGAATCGGTAATCCCAACTCCATAGCACACACGCAGCGCATCAAATTGATATGGGCAACCTATTTTTCTCGGAACTTTGTGACCTTATAGGCAGATGACTGATGAGCGGAACAATATTTCTAGGCTTTTACAGCAGCTAGTTAGCACAAAATCAAAGAGAACAGAAAATAACATAGTTTCGCAAGTCCTCCGTGACCAGTTACACAGCTGACCAAAAATGCTGTCCAATCAAATGCATGCACATTACCGCGGCCTTCATAATCGTCATCATCATCATCATCATCATCATCATCATCATCATCATCATCATC